TTGATATTTGAGTGAGAATATGAAAAATGGATGACAGAGGGTGGTTCATTTGTGAGTAGCAAGTTTTGGGTGCTCTGTTTGTAATGACCCCTAAATTAAATTATTTAAATTATCTCTAATCAATTTTTAAATTTTTTTAGATAAGATGTCATTTAAAAATATTAAGTTTAAGATTTTTAACAACTAATATTTTTTCAATATTAGTAAAAATTGGATCAAGTTGATTCTTTATTTACAATAGGGAAGAAAATTAGACAAAGTATATAGATTACATCATGTATATTAAATGGATTCTAAAAAATCATTTTGAAATTGAGTTCTAAACATTAAAGATAGTAGGCATTTTCTTTTTTATCTCCTAAATATTTTAAATTAAATTCAAATTTTGTTTAAAATTATAATAATTAGGAATGACAAGCTATTTTTATATTATCTATTTATATTAATTAAGATTAAATATAATCTGATATATAAATTAGACTATGTATTAAATTAATTTGATATATCTGACTATCCGTTTATGGTTTTAGAAGAGCATAAAGTAACAAAATTTTGAGAAAGCCCCATTTTGATGGAGTTCTTTTGTTGTATTGAAGTTTTGGAGGAAAATTTCTCTCATTGTAGCTTAATAATATGTATATTGATGTATACAAATATATACAACAAATATATACATTAGATAGATATGATGAGTAAGATTTGAAGCTTTTCAACATTAATTTAAAATAAAATTATAGTTTTTAATTAAAGAAGTAAAAGATGAATTTCAGAGAGGGCTTCATTTTAAATGAAGCATTGTTGATGGGAACATTCTCTTTCATTGTGGTTTTTTAATATAGGTGTAAATATATAGGTTAGAATAGATGGATGTGAGCTAATTAGGAAGGGAATCCAATAATTAATTCTTCCACTAAAAGATAAAAAATTCTAAAATTTTTTGAGAAGTCCTTCTCAAATTGGAGCTCTTTTTGGATGGAGTTTTCTCTCTTATTGTGGATTATTTATGCAAATCAAGATTTAATTTGGTTATCTAAAATTTAGTGCCAATTAGTTGATGATTTGTAATAAATTCTTTAAAATTTTGGAAAATACCCATAATTTTGAAAGATCCGTTATTTGAAATAAATTTTATGCTATTGCATGAAATTCAGTGAATTAAATAAAAAATGGTTTTTTATCTAAATTTGATTTAATGCATTTTTATGGTTTAATTGGGTGATTTATCAATATGCATGAAAATTATTAAGTTGAATTATATTATTATGATATGATTTACTTAATTTTTAAAGTAAGTGAGAATTATTTGCTATGCAGTATATATGAGTTTTATGGATCTTTATAAATTTTTTTTGGGTTTTTTAATAAGATTGGAATACATGATTAGGCATGATTAATTGGAAACATTGCAAAATATTTTTATAAATTCACAAAATTTTATTTTTTCCCCGTCTAAAAATTCATTTTTAGTTTCTAGGAAAATGTTTTCCTTGATTTTTAAGTGTTTAAAAAACTGTTGAAAATGATTCCAAGGCCACCAAGTATTTAGGAAAATAAGCTAAATATTTATATTTTTTTACAATAATGTTTTATCAGTTCCAATAATTCAATTTAGTTTTCTTCTATTAATGCAATGTATTTTATATTTTATTTCCCTTTACCTAGTTATTAGTTAGAATTTAATTTTAATTTTCAAATTTCTTTTAAATCAACTTAGCCATCTCAGTAATTAACTGTGTAAATCTTATGACCTTCATCCAACCATTGAGTCCAACGCAGTGCATCACAAAGATCATCATTAAAGTTGTTAGTAGTATGCATGCCATAGTTTAGATCATATATGCATAGGATGTGTTCAGTTATATTTTTTTTCTTATGTACTTTTCTTACAGACCTCGATTTTTTTGGGTATTTTGAGACATGTTGAATTTTGGTATTGCGTTGTTTAAACAATTTCTTGTATTTGTGCATTGTGTTGTGGGTTGTCTCATGTGCCGTCATATGACCAACTTTTGTGGATTGGAAGCTTGATCCAAATCCAATTTTTTTTAAAGCGCTCTTCAAAGCATGCTTCACAAGCTAAGCGTGTGACGGCCGCATCGTTTTGTTGAAGCATGCACGGAATTGCTGAAGTTAATTTACAGTTTTTTTTTCTGTAATTTTCAAGTTTTTAATCATTGCAACAAACTACTAGAAATTGTTCGGAAGTTTAATTTGTAAGTTCACACTCAATATTTGCCTTCAAATTTGGTATTGTACCACATTCTTTTCTATTTAATATTAACTTTTGAGTAATACTTTATATTTTGTAATTGTTAATGAATGTATTATATATTTATAATTTTATATAGCCTATTAGTGTTTTGGTTAATTAAAGCGTTGATTCGCTCTGCGTTTTGTGCTTTGAAGCAAAAATAAAGCCTTCCACATTGCATTGCGACACTAAATCCAACGAAAAAATTCCTATTTTCTAGTCCAAATTGGTCTATTTTATCTCTTTGACCTCTCATTGACTGCCATCATCAAAGTTGACCACCACATTACTATTTTGACTTATCATATCATCTTCTCTATCGCCATGGTCGCCGCCTCTCTTTTTTGTTTATTGCATTAGTTCTTAGTGAAAGTGCTGCCTTGAAATTAAGCTGCAAGCTGCACTGAGTGCTTGCTTTAAGAGCTTCATGAATGATGTTGAAACCAATCTTAAAGTCAATAAATAGAACTTTTTTTAGAATGAAAGAGAATGAAGATACTTGGATAAAAGTTATTCCTTTGAGTTTTCTCCACTCTTTTCACTTTTGGCCTACAGGTGAAGGGCTACTTCAGAGTTTGGTGAGTGCAGCCCTTTGAGAATGTTCAAGGAAGGAGTATTTAATCTATGATGATGGACTGCTCGTGGAGGAAAATCTTTGTTATCATAAAACATTTTGTTTGTGAGCTTCTGTAGGAACTAATTTAATTCACTTTCATTGTCATTGCTTGTTATTTTATAAAAATGGTAGGCTCTTTTTCGAGCTCTTCTTATCATGCAAAACCTCCAATTTTTTTTTAAGTTCAATTAATAGTTTGTGTTAATCTGCATAAATCTAGCCTATTTTGATTGATTGATGAGGACTTATTTTACATACATTTGCATTGCATCCTTATTTTACTATCATAGATTCCAATTGTAATAGTGGGTAAATACTTCTTAGTGATTGGCAATGATTGATGCACATGCATGAAGTTCGTTTTGAATACCTCAGTTCGGATGGTGGGGAGATCATTGGCTCGTCTCCAACTATTGTTTAACATTGAACAAAGGCCTTTCAACAAATTATTATTTTTTTGACTGAATCCTTAATCTCAAGGGCTATCAACAAATTTTTTTTCAACTGAATCCTTAATCTATTTTTGAAACCCTTGATCATAGATTGCTTAGATCAATGAGCACTGCAGCTTAATTATCTAGTTTCTAGGGTTGTGGGCCATGTTGCATCTCAATAATCACAGAAAGTGGCTTGCAATTTAATCTTATCATTGCACTGAAGTCTTGACCAGTTGGTCAGGTGATTGAGTAGCTTCATATGGATGTGAGGAGATTGTGGGAGATTTAGACTGTTGTGGCGTTGGTTGATTGCAGCTTCCGTCCAACACCATTTGTGGCTTAAGCAAGGGATAGCCAGAGAAGTTATTGGAGATACGCCATTTGCCATTCTAGACCTGTTTTTATTCTACGACGAACTCCCAACTTTCATCAATTGGTTTTGAAGCTCTGGCTGGCTAAAAATTCCTGTCACTTCAGAGACAAATTATCTAGTGTTTCATATACAAAGAAAACAGATAACACATTGAGAGATAGGAAAATAGAGAAACTAATGTTTATGAAGAAATGGGAATTTAATTCTTTAGAAGAATCATATCCTTTCACCCTACTTTTTTTCCTCTGTATATCCAATTAGTCAACTTTCATCCAAAGGTTGAGCCACCAGACAAGGAGGAGAATACCTGCAAGAAAATAACAAAAACTTGATTAAGACAATGGAAACCAATTCAAGACTGCTGTACCTTCCATCAGTGGTTGTAGTCCTGCTTTCTTTTTTCCTCAGTTTTGGTCTGCTTAAGCGTTCATTTCCAGCTACTGCAGCCAGAGTTTTGGCAGCTTTCCAAGAGTGGAAAATGTACTTCTGCCGATTTTGAAGCTTTTCCTTTTCCTATAGAATTGTTGTGCCACTAAAATTTCTGCTGTTCGTTGTAACATCCCTGAATACCCACCCAAAGTCATTCTTGATGCCAAGAGAGAACAGCAATGGTCTTCCCTGTCTGAACAGCCCTGTTTCCAGTTGCTGGAATTACTAATACAGGTTCCATTAGCTCTGTGGAGAAGGGATAGAAGCTCTGATGATCGACTGTGGCGACTTGGACTTTGCTATGGTCTCCTTACCATCCCACCACCTTCCGAATTTGGGGAAATCCACCCCAAAGCAGAAAATCCTTCCCAAACTCAGAGTAACCTGAAACAAGCTCTTAAAATAATAATAATAAATCTTTTTCAAGCATGAAGTTTTATATTTATAAACAGCCATTCCTGATAACACGTTGAAGCCCGTAGTTACTAAATTGCCTCCATGAAGGTGTGAGAGCGGAACAGCCCTAAATACTAATCAAGTAATTAAAATAAAGATCACTATTGGCTAAAAGCAATTTATAACTGTCATTTTGTCAAGGGTAAGATTCTACTTAATTTAAAACCCAATAGATATAGATGTAAAATGAGGATTCATATTGTTGGCGCCAAATAGTTGGGACTGGCTAATGATGATGATGGTATTTTCCTAACAGAGGTATGAGTATCTTCATTGTTTATGAAAATTGTTCTCCAATGTAAATTCAGTAATAACTGTTTGATAATTGGTTGTTAGAAGTTGTACCTATTATAATCATTACTCACTGTTTTCTTCAGATATCTGGCTTTTTAAAATATTGTTGTAATTTTCCATATCTATCTTAATTCTATGTTGCAGGAGTAGTGTCTTTTCTGTCAATTCAGCTGATATCTTGGGATCTTCATCATTGGTATCATCCATCTTCTATAACTTATTTGTTTTTTAATTAACCACGTTAAAATTTTATAAATAGTAGTGCTCCAGTGGTCCTCTTTTTGGACAAAAATGGAATGATAGGGGTCTAACACATTAACGTGAAATTATCAACTGCTTGTCATTTGTCTATCATGGAGCCATTATAGACCTAGCATAACTACTTTAATTCGCTCATGCAATAATTGAAAGACAAAGAAAGGCAATGTTCCATTGAACATAAATATCCATACAAAAGTCATTTTTATTATCTTGATGTACAGTGTCTATGTAATGAAAGAGTTCAGAACTTTCATTTCTCATTTTTGCATCCTTTGCGAATGATACACTTTTATTAAGGAAATTGTTGACTGCAAATGATGATGATTGAACGTTTTTTTTTTTGGTTGTCACGTATTTGGGTTTACTTCTGCTCCTTAAAGATTTTAAATTTCCTGCATATGAAGAAGCAAGGTTTTGACCATCTGTGTGATGGATATTCCGATACACCACTTATCACCTAATATAGCTATATGCTTATATATATATCTTTATAACTCTCCTAAATGTGTAAAAATTTCCAAAATTAGAATCTTTGTTAACTTTTGACAAAGATTCTAGGAATTGTGAAATCTAGCTATTTCTCATCTTCTTTAAAAAAAAAGAGTTAAACATAGGCATTTGAACTCCACTAATCAGCTAATATAGCTTTATGCCTATTTCTACATATTCTTATGTTTATTTTTGTAACTCCCAATTCGGTAGATATTTCTAAAATTACTCTTGCCAATGGTTTTATCATTCAGAGTTTCATTTGATATTTGTAAGCTACTTCTTGAACAATCCTTAAGAGTTGCCAAAGGGTTGTCAAAGGTGGTTGTCGAAGGTTTGTTGTAAATCCATGGCCTATCTTTGATAGGAAGAGGGTTGAGGAGAGGGAGTTGCTTTTTCATGGTTTAAACGTCATTTTTCAGCGAGGCCAAATGCCCACCACATGTTTATGGTTATGAACCCAACCACACAAAAAAAAATTTCGCTGATATACGCTGGTATGAAAGTGCGGGTGTTGAACATATAAATTGGCAAACCTATGGAGATATTCATGTAAATCCAAGTCAGAAGGCTTATTATTTGTTGAATCTCTTGTTTTATTGTATAGGTTAGGGTTGGTGCATGGCTTTGAGTCGGGTTCTGGCTAGTGAAACTTGGCTCAAATTCAAAATGCCTGAGTTTAGCTCAATTCAAGATGCTTGAGTTTAGCTCGAGTCAAAATCAAAATGCATTCTGAGTCAAGGTAGCTCGACTCGATATGATTCTATTTTGAGCTAACTTAAAATCATTTAGAGTTGACACAAAATTCAAAACTTCTAAATTAGGGAAAAAGGGTAGTCGTAGGTTTCAAATTTGAGACATTTTTCAACTAAATTATGGGCAAAATTCACCACATTGAGCAATTATTATTTATTATTAACAGAGATAAAATATATAAATGTACCTTTTTAGTCTGCTTGGATTATTTTTCGAGCAATTCTTTTTGCTCAAAATTGACTCAACTAGGAGAGTTAGGGTAAAAAAATGATAAACATTTTATCATGAAGGGAGGGCCTTATTCTTACACTATTGTTGCTTTTCCATTAACATTGCCATGGACTACATAAATTCTTAAAGATTGCTCTCGTAGAAGTGTAAAGTTTACCGTTTGGATTCTTGCAAGGGTATGGTCTATTTATTGGAGCATCTCGCGAGGTTTAATTTGAAATAACCTTTCATGTAGTATTAGATGTAGTAAAAGGCCACATCTTTTTGACGACTTTGGCACTACACTTAGTTTGTTTTTAATGCTTTGTCTCTCAAGCGTAACATCATTTGAGGAGTTCACGAAGCTACTCGAAGGTTAATTTTATAAATCCTAGAAGAAAGAGTTGTAAGGCATTTCTTGCCGTAGATAAGCAAGAATGAGCCATTTAGGCCTATGGAACACAATTTAACCAATAAATGCTAGATAAGTCCCCTTAGTCATTAAAGTAGTTTTGATTCAAGGGTTGTGTGATGGTTGATTCAAAAGCACAGTCATAAATTACCCACTGAAATCAATGGGGAGCTTGTAAAGAATTGAAAATTAGTACATATTTCCGAAGAACTCCAAATCTTTGTCTTTAGCCCAAAGCCCGAACACGATCAAGAGCACAAGCAATAAGAATCACAACAATCACAAAAATGATTTTTTCCTTACTACCATCACTCAGGCTCATCTAAGATGTCAACACCTTTTAACTATCCTCTTGTTATAGTTGTTGTGGCTATTTAGGTTTGAGAATACTTTTGATGGACGTACAATTATGCCTTTACTTCAATAATTATAAATAGTATGGAAGACTTATCTCAGCTCTAATAGTTGTTGGAACAACGCTTGAAGCTTTATGCCATTCTCTTGAAGGTTTTTTGTGAGCCAAGGACCCCTAAGGGACTAATAACTCTCACAATCCTAGTAGGAATGACAATCATTTCCACATAAAAAAGCAACTTGATTTCATAGTTCTTCAAGCCCCCCACTCATACAACTTTATATTTAGCAGGCATTTATTGAACACATTTATAGCAATAATTTTAAGTTATCACCTTTTCATGAATATCTTGACACTGCTTTGAATCACAATGATAAGGAGAGGACTAGTTTAGTCCAAGCTATGTTATTTGAATGCCAATCAAGTCAATATTTAACTTGCTATATACAGCCTCGAAGAATCATAAAGGCTTGCAATCATTACTGGCATGAAAAAGCTCCAAAATCTGAAAAATATACTATTCAAGCTTTTCCAATAAATACCCTCTTAACAAGGAACCACTTGTTTTAGCTAGAAAATTTGTTATAAGATAGCAATGATGCTTTTGCATGAGATCCATTGCAGATGATTGAGATAGATCACATGTATTGAGCCATTGATTGAATATCAAATCGGACTTCAAGTTCATAAAGTGAAAAAGGCATAAATGAGACAAAAATGAGGGGAAAATCCATTAATGAATTCAACAAACCCTTGGAGACCAGAATCATTCTAGAGGTTTTTACTTAGAATTGATCTCCAATGTCATTATAATTAAGAAGATTGGCTCAGTAGAGAATGCACATCAACTCGTCAATCATAGTTAAGTGTGCTCTATTAATGCGCTTGTCAATTCAATAGGAGGATATACTATAATGACTTTTGTCGACTCCGTTAATCATCATTAGGTATGAATGCACTATGAAAGCAAAAAAAATATCAATTTTTTAACCAACGAAGATAATTTTATTATAGATTCGTACCATTCGGGGTTAAAGAATGTTGGATTCATTCATCAATACTTAATATGTTTGTATTTTTCTTCGAACTTGAAATTGTTCATCAATGATTTTTTTTGGTCAAAGGTAAGATCCCAGGGGTTTTCTTGTTTGTCTCTTAGAAACATTCTCAACATTGAGAAAATTTATAACGTGCCTTAACTTTAGTAAGTTCTTCTCTGATACTAGTTTGAAGAAGTTCCTTGATTTTCTCATCTTTTTAGAAGATTGCGGGCTTCGAGAAGTCTGACACCTCCAGGCTCTATTTTGTTTGTGTGTTTGAGAGATTTTTAAGGGTCAAAATTTTTAAAAGGCGGATGGAATAGTAAATAATACACTTCCTAGAGATTTGACTCTCATTTTGCGAGAATTTTTTGATTTGAGATTTGAGGTTTCTCATAGGCGCAAGCTCTTATGGTTAATTACCCCCATGATAACAAGAGAATACTTTTGTTTTAGGCTAGTCATTTATAATTAAATATTTAATATATAGTAACAACAAACATACATTTTTAAGTTATGCAATTTATCACTTAGAGCTTAAAGCGGATGGTGGGAGAAGTGATGATGAACTTGATCAAGATCCCGTGGTTCTGTCGTATCGGATCACCGTGATCTGTAATCTAATTAGTCAGATGAAGTAGTCGACCCAACCTAACTGAAAGATTCTTGTCAGCAATCATGAGTTGTGTCGTCCAAGGCATTATTGTAGATTTGGGGTGAAAGTCAGTCTAACAAACAAGCGACACTAAGAAAATGTTTGATAATCGAAATAATTTATGAATGCGAAGATAGGTACCAAGCCAAGGAATGTAGAAACAGGGTGAGGGGGGTGAGGAAAGGTGATGGGGGTATATGAGGGGGAATTCCAGGGATCATTTTTTAATGGAAGGAACACCAAGTCCACCCTATGGTGATTTAAATGTATAGCCATTTAACTTTTTGGAGTTGATGATCTGTGCATTGATCGTTTTTGTTTGAAAATTAGATAGTTTACCTTTGCCTTTTCCTACTTATTGGCAATAGACGTTTCCACCCTTTCTCTTAGATACATGCCATTCAAGAGCTGACTTCAAAAATAATGCTAAACTTCTAGGACAAAGTATGGTCTTGAGGCTGTTTGGAAAGTTATGTCTGCAATGTGAGCCTAATCTAGTGTTTTTCTATGCACCATGCTTTTTGAGTTTTTTTAATATGTTGCTTAATAGTTGTTTTTTTTCTCTCTGAATTTACTCAGTAAGTTACTTTGCCTGACACAGTTTTTGTAGACATCTGACAGGGATGGGTATACTGTTCCAATCCCTATAGTCATGATTGATCAAGATTCTGATCCTGATGCTACAATTGTAGAAATTAGTTTTGGAGATCGTCTTGGTGCTCTAATTGATACGGTAAAGTGACTAAACTTAAACTATTTGATAAAGTATTATCTGCTTGAGTAAAGTTTCTACCTGCAAATTATATTAACTAGTTCTAATAAAAAAGATCTTTATCCGTGTCCTTTTTTCTTCCAAAGCATTAACTTGTCAATTGAATGCCATACTGAGAATCAAATATTCTAGAAAATTGTTTTTCCTATTCATCAATGCATCCAGATTCTATTTGTTTTCTCCATATTCTTGTTATTTTAAATATTGATTATCATTTGTTATAACGAATTCATCCTTTTGTTACAATACTGTATGGTTGCATTCTTTCCATCGACATGGTAAGATGGATTGTTCTTTTAAGCGAAGATAAGCTTTTTATTGGTATTTTCTGTGTTCTCAAGTGGGCTGCTAATTTGTTTGCAAACTGGACTCTGGTAGCTAAAACAGAATAATGCACATTTGAGGTGTGCAAAAACTGATGCTTGCGTTTGAATCTGCCTTTAGTTTTATTGCTTATTGCTTGCAGTAAGCATTTAGCAGCCTCTCTGCTTTTCATAAAATTTAAGAAAAATTCTTACTTAATCATGAATTTTTGTTTTGTTTAGATGAAGGCAATTAAAGATCTGGGTTTGGATGTGACAAAAGGAAGAGTTACTACCGAGGCCGGCGTCCTAAAAACAATTTTTTTTATTACAAAAATGTGAGCATTAATTTTCTTGCTTTTTTGCGCAATAGGGGAGGGTATGGGTCTTTAATTATGGTATGACGATTTTAAAAGCAAAATTTGAGCTGGAGTAGTCATTCAGCAATCAAAAACAAATTCCGCACAATTAACTATTGCTTTATCCTCATATGCTAGCATGAGTACTAATTTATTTGCACATGCAGCTAGTGGTCATCTGTTACTACTAGTCCTATTCTTATTGTGACGTAGCGTCTTAAAATTGATGTGATGACTATTTTCTTTATTTATGTATATTGTCTTGAATGCAATACTTTTAAAGTGATAAGCGCAATGTGGGGCATAAATGAACCTTTTTATTTAATGCGCAAAGCACTAAGTGAAGTAATGCTTTTGCTAATAAGAGCACTCATGATTTGTACATCATATTGCACTCATTTTGTAAAAAGCAATAATCATTTAACTAGCCATACAAAAACTACGTTAAATATAATGTTAAATTCAATAATAATAATTTTCAACTATTTAAAAGCCAAAAAAAGAAGATACAAGAATGAAAGCATGGGTTGAAATGACATTCAGGACACCTGCCTCAAGTCACACCTTACGATAAGGAGTCAATGGCATCATCGAGGGTTTTCTTGAGCGAGGTTGATTATCATTTTCATTTGAGGCATATAGCTTGAGTTTATTTGCTTTGTTGCGTGAGGCAGACACCTCAAATAAGATGTATTTAAAATCGATCTATCTATATATATATATATATATATATATATAGATATAAGAACATAAACAAAATTGTAATTGAATACACAACATATTTAATTATGTATTTCTCTAAATTGATCAATTTTGGCATATTTAATGGATATCATTAATAAACCTTATAAGTGACTAACTTGTAATATTTTAATTTATTATTAAAATTGAAATTAGAATACCTTTCTTATATTATAACATTTTTTCCTACTTCTGTGGGATTTTTGGGTTTGCAGAAAAAGTAGTGCAGTGAAATACATGCAATGCAGGAGTAACATATCTCAATTAAAATACTTTAGAGTTGTTTCGTTTAGTATAAAATAAGTGAACGACTTTATTTTTTATTGTTTGGTTTGAGGCAAAATATAAACACATTTCAATGTATTTAAAAGTGTCAAAGTTTTGAGAAAAATAGACTCACATTTCAATGTATTTAAAAACATTTCAATGTATTTAAAAAGTGTCAAAGTTTTGAGAAAAATAGACTGATTTTTGAATAGACTCGATTCCTTCTCCGTTTGCTTTCATTCCATTAAATAATAATCTTCTCGATTCTATTTTTTATTGTTTGGTTTGAGGCAAAATATAAACACATTTCAATGTATTTAAAAAGTGTCAAAGTTTTGAGAAAAATAAGTTGAATTTTGAATAGGCTCGATGTCTTCCTTCTCCATTTGCTTTCATTCCATTAAATAATAATCTTACAATCTAATTTAGGTACAAAATATTGTGTATAATCTATTTTAGGTAACTTAATAATATATATTCCTAATCTAAATATTCAGTTAAAAAAGAAATAAATCAAAATAAAGATATTGGAAATAATTTAAATAAGGAAGCTCCTAATTATAGAAAACTTCTAATTTAGCTGTCTGATTTCCGTTCTTTCTGATTGACATCTGCCCTCAAATTGATGTTGATTGATCAAGAAACATCAATTTGCCAACAAGAAACTGATAATTTTGCCTTCGAGTGCCGAAGCCTAAGAATACTGAAACCTAAGATCTATGGTTTGTTGAAGCCAAAGTCATTGATCTAGGAAGGAGTGCCAGAGCTAAAGCTAAAGCGGACGAAGCGAAGCGTGAGAAACAGTCGAATTGTCATAGAAGCAGCGATGCCTAACAAAGAAGATTCAAATCAGACTAATAATAATACAAACATAACTACCCTTTTGAACCCAAGAATACTTGTATTCCACAATGAATGGATTTTGCACTTCAGATTAAGTTCCATCTCTTGGCGAGCAGACCTTTGACATCTATCTGTCTGTCGATCAAGTCTAATATTCTTCAAGACATACTTCTTCTTTTCCACCTTGTTCTTCATGAGAAGAGCAGAGAACAACAACAAGAAGAAACTAGACTAGCGCCGCAACTCGAGGTTGCAAAAAGCTTAAAAGGAAAACATAATTGGAGATCCCCTGATGGCATTGCTGAGTTCCTTGCAATCCATATGATGAGTTTGCCTCTGGTGAATATCAGTAGCTGCTCAAACATATTCGGTACCTTCCTCAATGATTTCGGGTAGGAGAAGACCAGAGCTCTAAGGCTGGCGCGAGGGAGGAGAGCCGCAACTAGGGTAGAGACGATGGTTGACGAGGAGAGTCGCAACTAGGGCAGAGACGCAGGGAGGAGAGGAGATCGCGGCTATGTCCCTTGACGGGGAGATCGCAGGTTGACGAGGAGGAGAGTCACAGCTAGGGCAGAGACGACGCGAAGTTTTGCGCGAACGAAGCAGAAGCAGAAGCAGATGCAGATGAACGCAGGAAAACGTAATAGAAGCAAACGCAAACGCGAAGTTGCGCAGGTTAACTAAGCAGATGCAAACGAAGATGTCGAAGGTGTCGCGAACGAAGATGCCGAGACTAGAAGATCGCGGCTAGGGCTACTGCTGAAGAATACCAAGGATTCACACCGATTCTAGCTCTGATACTATGCCAAAGTTTTGAGAAAAATAGGCTCGATCCCTTTTCTATTTGCTTTCATTCCATTAAATAATAATCTTACAATCTATTTTAGGTACAAAATATTATGTATAATATATTTTAGGTAACTTAATAATACATATTCCTAATCTAAATATTCAGCTAAAAGGGAAATAAATCAGAATAAAAATATTTGAAATAATTTAAATAAGGAAGCTCCTAATTATAGAAAACTCTTAATTTAGCCGCTTGATTTTCGTCCTTCCTGATTGACAAAAAGTGATACGTTGGCCAGCATTCAACGGGTGGTGGTTGCGGCTACAGTAGTTGCTGGTGGTGCTTGACGGGTGGCAACGATCGGATGGCGGTTGTGGGTTGTGGTGGGTGGACTGCTATGGTTGTTGGGCGGCGGTGAGCGGCCGACGACAATGGTAGCTGGTAGTGGGAAGTTTCAATCAACGCTGCACACGGTATTGGGCTATGGAGGATGGTGTCCAGTGCCGGCGTTGTCCAACAGAGAGCATGTAGTAGTTGCCGCGCAACCGTGGCATGGTGGAAGGTAACATCACTTTACAAAACAGTGTAATCGTCCAAATCGACAAAATCCAAATGTATAGAAACTATAGAATGTATTCTAAATTTGTTCATATTTTATATTGTATTTGGAAATCAACGGAGCAAACATCACAATTCTTAATACCGATGTAAAATACAATACACTGGTTTTTTTTCATACCCAATATCCCCTAAGCATAGAAAAAAAAATGTTTAGATAAATAAAATCCTAGTGTAAAATCAGTTATTTATTACTCTATATCAACTTTTTTTAGCTTCATTTAAAGGCCTAGAGTTATTGGATCAATAGTATTATTACAATATTTCTTACACATGAAGGTTGGAAACCTGTAAATTATTTTAGGGAAGTTTTAATTTAGAAATATAAAAAATTCCTTGATATGAAATCCAATTTAGGATTTGAATAATTTCCTTGATATGGGTATCCAGTTTCGGGATAAGAATAAATCCCTTGATACGAGGATTTTATTTAGGAAGAAAATATTTGAGCTTTATTATTATTATTTTTTATTTCTATATATGTTCATTGTACAATGTATATATATATTAGTTAGAGAGCCTAATGAAAGATAGATCTACATTTCATTCCATATTTTTTGTCATGGTATCAGAGCCCTAGATTTACTCGCCTCTGGGATATTTTTAGGCCTTCATTATCAAGCTAATTGTTGGCTTTCACCACAAACATTTTTCTTTCTCTTCTTTGTGTTGTGCAAATCTTCACAAGTTTTATTTTTTATTTAATATGCGATGCGTGACATTGCTGAAACAAACAACTCTTTTCAATCTGTCAAAACCCCATCTTTTTCCTGGTGAACTGCAAAATATACACAACTCATAGACTCAAAGGTAAAAAAAAACTACTTAAAATGGTCTCACTTAGTCCAAGCTTATCTAAAAGGCAAAAGAAAAATTTAGCATGTTCTCGACACAAGACCGAAACAGGATGAGTCAAATTTCAACACCTGGGATCAAGGTGACTCCATGATTATGTCTTGGTTATAGAGTTCAATGATACAAAAAATTAGCGATACATGTATTTTTCTCATCTCTGCAAAAGATATTTGGGATGTCCCTCCAAAGATGTTTCCCGTGTGTATGAAGTCAAAGTAAAAACTATTGTTGCAAAAGAGGGCAAAAAGCAATAATATAATTTGCAAAATCTTTGGCATGTGCTCGACTATTATAGTGCCTTAGGAATGTTTTGATCATGAAGAAATTTATTGAGGAAAATCTAGTGTATGAGTTTTTCGGTTCGACTAAATGCATAATTTGATTATGTCCATATTCAAATTCTTGATAGGGAAGATGTTTCTTGACTGAAAGAGGTTATCGCCTTGATTCAGGCTGAGGAGAGTCAAAAACGTATTATGCTTAAACCAGTGACATTGAAGGATCTACTATGGTTGCACAATAGAATACCAACCAAAATAGAACCAAGGAGACAGGCCAAAATGAACTTCAAGATAATCCCTGGCACACCTATTGTAAAAAGCAGGGTCATACCAAGGATTGTTGTTGGATGTTGCATGGGAAACCTATTACTTTAATTCATGAATGAGGCCAACGAGGTGATAAAAAAATTCAGCAAGAAGCTCATCAAATCTCCCCCACAATATCCACTTTTTGAAATTTGGTCCTACAGACTCTTATGGAGACCACACCCAACTATCTTAATCAAGCTGAGATTGAGAAGCTTCAAAGTTTATTGGGGTCATTGGAGAAGCCACGTGGCTCTTGTTCATTAGCATTCTCTGGTAAGTCCCTCTCTTATGAATTATATGCCTTAGATCGGTTTATACAAGACTCTTGGGTCATCTACTCTGGAGGCACATATCACATAATATTATCCTCAGTCCGTTTTACAACATATTCATTTTTGTCATAGCAACATAAAAATTATTGTTGATGATTCTGTTATCACAATAACTAATGTTGGTCACATTTAGTTGAATTAGTCCTTGTTATTAAAAGACGTGCTGCATGTTCCTAAATTATCCACTAATCTTTTGTCTATTCACGAACTAACCCATGATATGAATTGCAATGTATTATTTTATCCATTTTACTATGTATTTCAGGATTATGATTCAGGATAGAGGATTAGATTTTTTAAGGAAAAGGGCGGCCTCTACTATTTCGATACATCAGCCACATACCTACTATCAAGCATGTTTTCCCAACATCTTGTTATTTTGTTTCAAATAAAAATGTCATTGGGCGTCATAACTGACATTTTGGTCATCCTTCATTTACTATTTTAAAGATAATATTCCCTTCTTTGTTTAAAGAAATTAATGTTGAGGATTTTCATTGTTAATTTGCCAAACATAAGAGTTTCTTTTCCAATTAGCAATAACAGGAGTTATTTTCCTTTTTTTATTATTCACACTGACATATGGGGTCATTCTAGAATTCCCAATGTTACAGGAGTTTGGTGGTTTTGTTTCTTTCATCGATGATAGCATTAGAGTCTCGTGAATTTTCCTTAAGAATAAGTCCAATGTGACTACTATTCTTTTAAACTTTCTTGTCATGATACATAATCAATTTGGTTTCAAAGTAAAAAAAATCTGATATGATAATGATAGAGATTATACCGATTTCTTTGATAGTTCATGAGTTATCTTGTATGGATACTCCTCAACAAAATGAGATTGCTGAGAAAAAAATGATCACTTACGTGCTACAAACTGTGCTTTGTTAAATCGGGTTCTAAAATCATATTGGGGGGAAGCTGTCCTCACTACAACCCACATTATAAACCAATTTCCTCCAAAGTGTTAGGTAATCAAACCCGTATACAACTCTCAGCTTTATCCCAAGCGTTCGAACCACAATTAATGTTACTCCTCAAATCTTTGGTTGTCTTGCTTTTATTCATGTCTAACCACAACAAAGGTAATTACTAGCCAAATTATGGCTGTAAGTGCTATCACCCACCTACACAAAATTTTATCTCTCTATTAATGTTACCTTTAAGGAAGGCTAATCTTTTTTCTCTCAGCCTTTTATGTAGGGGTGCCTAGTCTTATTGCGGAAGATAAGCTAGAGGGTTTACTCTTTCTTGACCTACCCACATTTCAACCATACTCTTCATAGGAGTCCAAATCACTTTCACAATAGCCATCCCTACAACCTGAATTGTCCCCTTAAGAATCAAACCTTGAAACTGTTGAATTAGTCCCCACCAATGACAAGCTTGACTCTAGGAGGTATGCACAGTTGTATTCGAGAAAGAGAAACTTGGAACCTGTTCTTGTGCAAGTCCAAAACTCAAGTCCTACTTCTGAAAATGAGGTTTGCATAAATCCAATTTCCTCTCTTACTATTGCTTATTATGACTTACATATTGTGTTAAGAAAATGGATAAGAAAATGCGCTTAACACCCATGGTATCCACTATCCAAATTAGTGACTTTTCACAAAATTTCTCTGTATCATAAGGGTTTATTAGCTAACTTGAACTCCATCCCAACTCCAAACTCGTTGTTTGAGGCATTATCCGATGAGAAGCAGAGAAGCTATGAGAATAGATATGGAAGCATTTGAGAATAATAAAACATGAGAAATGGTAGAGCTACCACAAAATAAAACAACAGTGAGATGCAAATGAGAGTTGGCCGTCAAATTCAAATATGGCGGGTCTTTAGAGATATGCGAGACTAGTTTTGGTCCTAACGAGCGCACACAAATATATGTTGTGGACTATCAAGAGACATTTGCTCCACTAGCTAAGATGAATACAATAAGGGCTATTTTGTCCTTGGCCGTAAATTCAATTGAGATTTACAACAATTTGATGTGAATAATGCCTTCCTCCATGGTGATTTAGAAGAAGAGATTTATATGTAGAATCCACTAGGCTTTGAAGGAGATAAAAGGGAACATGGTTTGCAAACTGAAAATTGCATTATATGGACTTAAGCAGTATCCAAGAGCTTGGTTTGCTAGGTTTACAAAGGCGATTCTTAATACTAGATATAAGCAAAGTCAAGGTGATCATACATTATTCTTCAAACACACGAGTTTAGTCAGAATTATTACTCTTTTGGTGTATGATGATGACATAATTGTTACCGGGAATGATGAGAAAGAAAAGGCAACCTTAAAAAATTGTTTGGCAAAGGAATTTGAAATCAAATATTAGAGAAGCTTGAAATACTTTCTTGGGATAGAAGTAGCTCAATCTCGGCAATGTATCTTCATTTCCCAACAAAAGTATGTGGTTAACCTCTTAAAGGAAACTGGTAAATTAGCTTGTAAACCGGCTTTAACTTCGATTGATCCCAATCATAAACTTGGAGAAGCAAATAATGAAAAGGCAATTGATAAAGAAGAATTCTAGAAAGTGGTTGGGAAGTTAATATATTTGGCACACTCTTAGTCTGACGTTGCCTATGTTTCGAGTTTAGCGAGTCTATTTATTTACAACCGTAAGGAAAGTCACCTACAATTTGCAATGCTAATGAAGGAAAAGGAATTTTATTCAAGAAATGTGGTTTTGATCCTTCAAGCATACACCAATGTCAGACGACAAGAAGACGTTTGACAAGAAGTTATTGCATTTTTTTAGGTGGTAATCTTGTCATGTGGAGGAGTAAGAAACAAAATTTGGTAGCTCGATCAAGTGAATAAGTACAGTTCATAGCAATGGCTCAAAATGTGTGCGCGCTACTGTGGTTTAAGATTATTCTTGTAGATCTCAAGATAGAATGGGAGATGCCTATGAGATTATACCGTGACAACAAGTCCGCCATTAATATTGCTCATCATGATAGGATAAACCACATCAAGATTTATAGACACTTTACAAGGGAGAAGTTAGACAACAGATTGATTTGTACTCATGCGTCTTCAAAGGAACAACTAGTTGATGTTTTTACAAAGGAACTTAATGATGTTCTTGACTTCTCAACAATTATATTCAATCTCAGAATGTATGACATCTATTCATTAGCTTGCATGGGAATGTTATAAAACGAGAAATTATTTTAGAGGAGTTTTAGGTTAGGAAAGTTTTAATTTAGAAATGTAATAAATCCCTTGATATGAGGATCCAATTTAGGAATAGAATAATTTCCTTGATATGGGGATCTATTTTAGGAATAGAATAAATCCCTTGATATGATGATCTAATTTAGTAAGAAAATATTTTGGTTCTATTAATTTTTTTTTTCTGGTTTCTATATATATTTATTATATAATGTATATATATTAGTTGGAGAGCTTAATGAAGATAGATCTGAATTTTATTCAAAATTTTTTTGTCACTTATGTATATGCTTGTAATGTTTGGTGGGAAATAGCTTAGGATTAATAAGAATTACTGGTTAGATTCTGTAATAAACTCATAGAGGAGACTATGCAACGAAAATTTGTTAGTTTAGGCTTTCACAAAACGCACCAAACCTGTTTTTATCTTTTATTTAAAAGAAAAGAAAACAGAAGTTAAATAAAATGGAACAAAAACAGAAACATGTTAAAAACAGAACAAAATAGCCAAGTTATTACCATGCTCTAATCTAACAATTCAAAATTTTAAAAAATCCTTGATACGATGAACAGTACCTTGATGCATTGGCTGGCCTTCTTTTTGGATAAACCATGAGAGCCTTCTCTCTCGAGGATTCTGCCAAACAAATCGGATCATTTTTTCTGGAAGTTTGAAGTTTTATTTATTACCCTTATATTTCCTGTTTAAAGTCTCTTTTTTTTTTAATTCAAAGAATGATGTTTGATGAACATATTTGATTCTGTCATTTCAGCTACTATTTGGGCAGGCATTTTTGTTTGGTTTTAACTGAAATTTGGAACTTGAAATTAATTTTTTGTCAGACTAATTATGCAAAAAAAATGGTATTTATGTTTTCCTTTGGAATTATTTGACGTCTTTTAGTATTAGGATTGATTAAGGTGTATTTTTAATCATTCCAGGGGCCGAAAAATTGAGGATCCATCTATGTTAGAAAGAATTCGACTTACCATTATAAACAATCTATTGAAATATCATCCGGTATTGCTTCTGCTTTTTGTGCAAATTCTCTATTGTTTACGTGTATTTAGTATTACATTAATTTTTTCTTAGGAATCTAGCGAGAGGTTAGCTTTGGGAGAGGCTTTTGGCATAAAAGCTCCACAAGAGAAGGTAATTCAACATCCACTTCCTTACATATATATGAAGTTGTTGCAGAAATGGACACCCCACTTTTTCTGAACTACTTTATTAATTATAATTTTATCTGAAGAATTCTCTATCCACTTTTATTGCAAAATAAATACTCCACCAGTGCAAATCCCTATACTGAATTTGTTCTCGGTGTTCTCTCTGACTGTTGTTGTTATCGATCTGCTGATAAGGCCATGAAAAAAGTACCCCAGTTGAGAATTGAATTCACTTAAATATGTAAATGTGATATCAAACTAATTTCTGATCTCTAAGGTTTCGGCCATTTTCATCAGTCTCACTCTTCTACATATTGCATGAACAAAGTTCTGGTATCTAGAAGTATTTATGTATTATTTTATGTAGACATTGAGTAGATCTAATGGGAAATTAATCAGCTGTATTCCAAGGTTAATGATCTTTTGATGCATTTCTGCAACTTTGAAGTTCGAGAAGACAAAAGCACTCAGCTTTGGAATAAAGAGAATATGATAGTTTTTTTGTCATTTTTTTCCTCTTTCTACTTTTATTGGCTCAATTTTGAAGGGTCTCAAATATGCAATTGTGACCTCAAAAGCATCTTTGACACTTAACACTTGGGGCATACATCATAAGCAAATTTTTTATTAGGAGATATGTTTTTCTTCTTCAAGCAAGGTGTTAATGTTGCATGACATTGTACTTGCTTTTTCTTTTTAATTTTTTTGCTCGGTTTCATGCTTTTGATTGTTAGCTTGTGTGGTAGTATTTTGTAGTACTTGTAGTATTAACAATACATCTTTAAATATGATACCAATCATTATGATGTTGCATGATTTATATATCTTCCTCTAGATCTTAGTGCTAGGTGGGAGTAAGTTTTGTATTCCTTTTATGGAAATAAAAGTTGGGGAATTTACTCATGCAATACTTTTTTGATTATTTGTCAAGAAAATGGCACCTTGTGCATAGTGGTTTAGGAACACAAAATGTGTAGTAAGCCTGGTAAGATTACCCCCTTTGCACTTGAGTGCTTATGCGGCACATACAACATTACATATGTGTGTGTGGTTATATAGATATTTTTCTCACACCCCTCCACCCAGGGGCTCTTCTGACTTCACTATGATCAATGATAAACAACAAACCTACGAAATTGATTCTCTACCGTGAAAGAAGTCTTACATCTCCCAGCTAGTCATTCCAGATAAATAGGAATCATAGTGTCTCGCACACCTCTGGGCTGCTTGGTGTAATCCTTTATTGTATATCTGCAAGCCTATGATTACCAATGCTATAATGTTGTTTTTGAAAGCAAGTTTTAAGCAACAACTACTTCCTTTTCACGTCTGAATTGATTATTTATATCCTTTACACTTCCGACATCTAAAAAAAGAATTTGTGCTCTCTCTTGCTGTTTTTAGTTATGAAGAACGTTTCAGGTCAGCAGAAGATAAGTATGTTTCTCATTAGAGAAGAACATTTTAAATAAATGGGAATGCTTAATTCAACCTTTGTTTGGAATGAGAATGACAGTAATTAAACAATCCCTTATTTTTTTACTCTAATGTTAGTTTGCAGAGTCATAACGGTGTATATTTCCATGAATGGTTGACTAACTTGCGTCGATCACTTGTTTTTCTGTGTGTCTTTAGATATGGAGGCCTTGGGCTTTTTCCAGTCAGCATGATTTCCCCAATTGAAATGAAATAATTAATTTTAGCAAACATAATGATAAACGTCACCATAAATTGAGAGCTCGGTAAACCCAATATTTATTTTAAATCTATTGCAAAATAGATAATCAATATATCATTAATAAAGAAATAGCACAACATATTGGAAGCGTAACATTTCCAGGTATTATAAAAATGTATTAAAAAAACAGCATCTAGCTTTAGTAGGTTGTCAGGTGCATATTTTTAATGTTGCATCGGGACTCATTAAGATTTTGTTTTGTTTTACATAGTTTTAGGTTTATTTTTATGTAACTATCCATCTTATTCTGGTAAAGAATCAATGTTGTATTCGTGATTCAACCTTTGATTCCTATATATAGGAATGAGAGTATCTTTTGAACGACTGATAAACATTTTGAATGAAACCATACATTTTTTTGGATGTTATTTTCTGGTGTTGGCGCTCTCATCATGCCCGAGAATTTTTAAGATTTCAAATTATGTGTAAGGAGATCTTTTCTATCAAGCTTACTTTTTTCTTCTTTTATTCCATCTTTTTAACTTTTACCACCCTTTTTTCCTTCTTTATCAACACATTCTTTTTGCATCAGAGTAATCCCTCAAATTTAAACTAGGTTTGTGCTTGTGAAGAAAAACTTCCTTATTCTCTCATACACAAATTGAAAATATATGTTACATATTTATATACACTATAATATCAATAAATTAGGAATATTTCAAATTGAAGAAAGATTACCTATTAGTTAGATTTCCTATAGTCAAGCTTCCTAATATATAATCATCATACCTAAGCTTGATCTTATGCTAACCTAATTTGGAAATTTAGCTTGCCTCAGGTTGACCCTAGCCCAAGTCTAATCCAAGGCTAAGTGCATGTTTTATTGCATGCTTATTTCACATATTATTTTATGCTAAAAAAACCAAACAAAAATAACAAAAAAAAAAAAAAACATAAAAAAAAAACAAGGGGGGCAACCTCCCACAAAAAAAAAACATAAAACAAAAACAAGGGTGGCAACCTCTCACAAGATGTTTTTCCCCACAAATGTCAAAAATCAAATTTCAAACAAAACAAAGTTAAAACTTAGAAAACCTTGATTTCTCAATTTGACTGACAAACCTAGGCATTGAAACAAAACATGAATTAGAATATTGAACTTTAAATAAACACCTAAAATACACCAATTTAGAAAACTAGAACATAACCTAGATAGATCCAACATGAACCTTAGGTTAGTTAACTTATACACCAAACTGAGAGCCACACATTTACCATAGGTTAGTCTGAGTATAGAAGCCTAAGCTTTTCTAGGTATCTAGTTAGTGCTAAGCACTATGACATACAAAATAACAAACCTACTCTGAGACTAGAGGGAATACCTTATAATGAAGTAACCCATAGTTACTGACGAAGGTATTTTAGACTGCTTAAGAACTATGAATCCTTTATGCTTCGACATTCTTGAAGGATTCCACTTTATGAGGCTGATCATAGTCGATGGATACCAGCGTTCCCGGGACGACGAAAAACCACGAGCATCTTGACTGAGGTCTTTATTTTCAAAGTTTAGGTTAGTCTGCCCATAAAATTTCTTATAGAGTCTAGGGTTTCATTTCTTATCTAGAAATTTTGTCCTACCTGACTCTATCCATTTCCAACCATTTCTGTCAGTCAAATCCCGTATCCTTGATTCATTCTTTGACTTCACTTGATCAATTCAAGCTCAACAGTAGACCCCTTTCAAATCTCTCTTCAAATTTCACTCTATATTTTGGTTCTTTTCATGATACATCATCATTGTACTGTAATTCCTATCCTTTGGAACTTAATTCTTCCAATTTGGATCCTCTACTTCCAATCACTTCAATTGTGAAACTTCGATCTCTAATAATTAGATTTATCACATTAATCAAGAGTTTTTTTTGTAGAACTCATGACTCTGAATATGTAATTGACTATATTTTACTCCTGTGAGGTAAGGGAAGAAGTCTGGTTTCACAAATTCATAAATCTCAAAGATTTCCCTCATATGAATGATTGAATCTATTTTAAGGTAATATTTCTATCTTTCGAGATAGTATATTGTTCTTTGAATGCCGTATCTGATCACTTAGAAATCTTTCGAGATCTATGATGGCCGCCAACAATAAAAATCCCATCAGGGCCAAGTATTCATTTCGGCCAAGAACAGAAATAATTAATTCGAAATTAGCTTACCTACCAGAGAGAATGTGTCCAAGTAGTTAATGTCATAAGTTTGAGCATAGCTGTTAGCAATCAATCGAGCTTTTAGACTAGTTACAGATCCATAAAATTGAAACCTAACCATAAAAAACCGTTTACAACCAACAATCTTCTTGTCATATGGTGGTTAACTTCTTCCCAAGTTTCATTTTTTAGTTAAGACACTTATTTCATCAAGCATCGTCCCGTCACGTAGAATGGGATAGGACTTGCTAAACAGATTTCCAGATCTCAACAAATTCCAGAGAAGCAATAAACGAGCAAGTTGTAGAAGATAACTGGTTATAGTTAACATAAGAGGAAATATGATATGCACATTGACATTTACCTCTTCAAATAACAATAGACACATCAATGTCACTAAGTGTAAGATCCACTAAAGAAGATGATACTGGTGCTGAACTAGGATAATGGGAACAAGATCTTTTAGAGTAAACAGTGGTCTAGGCTAAGACACTAGTGGTCGTGTTGAAGTTGGAGCAGGATTTGAACTGATGATATGATATATTAACAACTTATTAGAATCTTGGGATAAGTCATAAAAAAATGAGATTTTTTAATGAAAGTTGACATCAACATAAATCATATAACTATTTAGGAGAGGGAAAAACATCGATACTCTTTTTGCAATCGAGAATATTCTAGAAAGACACCTTAATAGCTTGGTTTCTAGTTTAGAAAGCTGTGGACCTAATCAAAACAATGGATTGAGGTCCTAATCAACAATGGACCTCAAATAAAGATAAGTTTCTAGAACATGCCATGGGTTGAGATAGTTTTTTATCCAAAATTTATAGCTTTTTTTGAACCTCCAATGGAGATAAAATTACATTCTAAAGATAGTTTTTTATGTTTTTCACATTATTTTTTTCTTTTCTCAATCCTCCCATCTTTATGTATGTATTATGATTAATTTTTGCATATATGATTGATATTTTATTAAATCTAACGAAGGTTTTTTTTTTTTTTTTTTTTTTTTTTGCGTAGTGAGTTTTAATCTTTGCATGGTTTTTTATTCAATTTCATCTTTCTTGCAAAACTTCAAATTTTGACCGTCTTTATTTATTGTTTTGGATGAATTATTTTTATTTTCTAATTTTCTTCTAAAGAGTTGAATTCTTAGTAATTAAAATTAGTAAACAATGACAGATCTTTTGAATGCTTATTTTGTTCAACCAATCTTCGAGCTGTGTTAGAGAAACTATATACCCTAAAGATATCACGCACCAATGTGACTGGAGTATCTTTTGTTGTCACATATGAGTTCTGTTATCAGAATGGGACTAAATTTTCTCTCTAGCATCTTTTCTGCTTTGCAATGTTGTTTATTTTTCTTTGGGACAATATATCTCACAGAACATTTTTTTTTACAGCTTGACATTGATGTTGCAACCCACATACATGTTCAGAATGATGGACCCAAACGAAGGTTTGTATTTTACATTTACCTACCGGTTTAGTGTTTAATCATTTTTTTATGGGAAATTACATACATAGCACTCAGAATATTATTATTTACAAATCTTGCATACTCAAACATCAAATTCACAGTGAAAACCCAATTCATGTTTTTTTTATGTTTATCAAATTCTCAATGATTTGATCGTGGCTTGCGTAAATGCATCAGTTCGGTAGTTAAAAAGATCAAATGGGTTCTAGTTTTGTAAATAGCCATATTTCTAGTTCTATGTATGTAATTAACCCTTTTTTTTTTTAAATGCCTAACGGGTATTCCAAGTCTTGAATGTAAATATTGTTGTCTTTTTCCAGCCTGTTATATATAGAGACTGCTGATCGGCCTGGACTGCTGCTGGAAATCATCAAAATGATGGCAGACATCAATGTCAATGTAGAATCAGCAGAGATTGATACCGAGGTGCAGCTTGTTCCTAAACTCTTTATAAACTCTATTCCTATTGATAGACTCCTTGAAAAAAAAAAAAAAAAAAGAAGAGACTAAACTCTGAAATAAGTTAATTTTGTAGGGCCTTGTTGCCAAAGACAAATTTTATGTCAGTTACAGAGGTGCTGCCCTGGGTGGTCCCTTATCTCAGGTAAACATGCCCCATGCATAACTACATTATCTTAATTACTTTTTTTCTTTTCTGTTTAAATCATGAGGACTGACTAAGAAATTTTCTTTGATTTCTACCTTCTCTTTACTTCTCAATCATGCATGATTGAGAACTCAAAATTAGACTAATCACAGAGTGTTATTGTGGAAGTTTCATCAAGAATATTAGTCAAGTTTTAATGGATTCCAAAAACAAATGGTACATTGGTGAGGAAATTAGAATAAAAATTTGTACATTTTTATAGTAGGAAAAGTTAAATACTATTGAAGCTTTTAATAATTTTAAAAAAAGTTAGCAGTCTTGCAAAGCAGAGGAAAGTAAAAAATTACAAGTTTCTATTATTTTCATCAAATGCTTGATTTTGGAGGATAAAAATGAGAAAACTACGATTCTGATGTATAGGAACTGTAATTTTTAGGAATAAAAATATCTAAAGACTTTAATCAAGTTGAATGCAGGAGTTGTTGATGAAGTTGAAGATAAATAGGAATGCAGGAGTTGTTCATGGCTCTGATGTATAGGAATCGAGTTTATAACACCATTCAATTTAGGATGAATAGGCTTAAAAATTAATAGTGAATTTTCAAGAATCAATTTAATAGCTTGTCATTTTTTCATTATCAAAGATTTACATACGCACCATTCAATTCCTATGTATTTGCATATCTAACACCTAAACATCAATTTTTACATATATGCCGCCGCCTTACCTATGCACGAGAACTTTTGTCTTTCACTTTTAAAGTTAAAAATAGTTGTGCTTTTGATTCAATATGAAATTTTTATGTGGTATAAATGTAAAAAGCAGAGTTTAGGTGTTAGATACATGAATATGTAGGAATTAAACAACTTCCAACCTGTTTGGGTGCTTGCAGGTTCTGGTGAATTCGCTGCGCTATTACCTTCGTAGGCCTGAAACAGAAGAAGATAGCTATTAAGCGGACATGAAATTTATGCCTGCAGTTCTAGCAATTTGCTGCTGTGAAATTGGTTTATATCCACTACTTCTCATGTTTAAACTTTCTGCCCCATAAATCCAGACTATTCTGTTGTCTATAAAAATTATTTATAATATTATTATCAAGGATTTCCATTTTATATTAATATTGCTCAATTTTTAAATTTTAATTTTAATTTTCGATCATTTATTCAGTGTTGATTTTGTTATGCCATGTGTAACTATTTAAGTTTGTTTAGTACATTTTAAATATCCAAATAGCATCTAATTCAAGCCTACTCACGAATAATATTGAATAAATTAATGTTAAAATAAAATTATAAAAAATGAACAACTAAGAAATAAGTAGGCTTGAATTAGTAGAATTCAGCATGAGTTTGAATTAGATTAATTAATCAGGCTCAAGCGAAAGGTAGCTCGACTTAACTTATTTACGCATTTACTTGATGCCTCCGCTGGTGGGGGAGAGACCTCGCTTAATTGAACATCTAATAGTAACCATGATGCTCATCTTTATTTGGTTGCTTGGGAATAGAGTTGAAAACGAGTTGAGCTTGAGTGAGCTCAGGCTAGGTTCATGTTCGGATCGTTTGAATTTGAACTTAGGACGAAATCGATGTGGTTTTGGATTTGAACTTGGACCAAATCGATGCAAAAGAGAGTATATAATCACATTACCACATGAGCTATTATGATTTAAGTTTAGATATAAATATATATAATATATTATTATATAAATAATTATATGATTTTTTTTTTTAATTTCGAGTTAAAACGAGCCGAACATGAGCGAACAAAGAGTTGTTCATGTTCAGTTTGTTTATAATCAGACTTAAAAAATTGTTCATGTTCGGCTCGTTTACTTAACGAACGAGTTGAACACGAGTTACTTAACAAACCAAACATGAATTGTTCGCGAACAATGAGTTTTTTTGACAGTCCTAATTTGTTCGATACCTTTAAACAAAAAGTAATTTGGTTTCGATGAATTAGACACAAATTGTCACTAATCCTATTTGCTCTCACATGGTGGCGACCGCATTGCACAATTCCAGCGTGCCATTGTGATCATCAATTTTTCATCTTGTTAGGCTTGCTTTGTGCTCACCACCACCCTATCCATACAATACGCCTTCACATATACACCGGGAAATCCCTCCGTCAACTACGAGCAGTGTGTCTACCATATTACACGAGATCGATTCCTCTAAATGCCACCTTCATGAGATCGAGCTTGATCTCTTCCAATACAAGGCCAATGATCCCCTCTCTTCACCCCCCTCAATTAAGAGCATGCAAACACAGGTGGAAAAGATGACCAAATCATAAATGAGATTCACATTGTTAGTTTTATTACATTAATAACTTTAGTTGTAATACTTGTAAATATAAAGTTTTGAATTTTAAATATGTAAATACCTATGCTCCAAGGTCTTAAATGCAAAATCCCCAGGTTGTCAATATAAATACATAACAGTTGAGTGTTATCTATGTAAATCGTCCAAGATTCTGATGATGATGTCCCAACAAAAATGCCAACCTTTAAAACAAGACATTCCCCAAGGCAACAACGTACTGCGTCCCTTCACATGGGACATGATGCATGGGACGGTTATCGTAATCATTAGATTACACTCAGCAGCATATATTTCTACATTAAAAGAAAAACTTCAACTATAAAAAAGAATCTACATCATTTTTTCTATATGTGTATATATATATATTATATGATAACCGTCCCATGCATCATGTCCATCAAGAAACATTCTAACTACTCAAAAATAATGTTGATGTGTTGATATAGAAAAATATATATTATATACGATGTATTAGCAAATCATCTTAATTTTATATGATTGGATATTCTCAGATCAATATATTATTATTATTGTGTGCTTTTAAATTCATGTCAGTAGAGTGATATATTAATGTTTTAATATTTCACGGAGATTCCACGATGATGGTCTGGTAGTAGCGGTGGTCGGGCAATTTTGGTCCTAAAGCGGCGACAGCTTGATGGCGGTGGTCGGGTGACGGTGGTTTGGTGGCAGCGATGGCTACATGACGGTGGTCGGGTAACAACAATGGTGGTGGTGGCACGAACACGGTAGCAGAGCAGATGTGGTCCAGCGGGTGGCTGCTAGTCGATGGTGGTCGGGCAATGACGATAGTAGTCTGGCGGTGGCGTTGGTTAGTCAACGGTAATTTGATGGTGGTGTAGCTTAGGAACCCTAAAAAGGTTGGAGCTCCTTTCAGCTCACTCTTCCAGGTATTGGTCTCCTTTTATGAAGAGAGTGCGGCTCTATTTATATATTTCAGGAGTGGCATCCTCCATAATTAGTAAATAATGCATGAATCAAGAACACTCCATCAAACGAACCAGAGTGATTCCCTTCATCAAATGATATTTCATGAATATTTATGTGCCTTAATGATGCGAGAATTGAATGATCTTAGGCTTGTTGGATGTGTCTCTTCGAGATGCTCTATTTGTTCATAATCTTGTCAGATTTGTAATCCATTCGATCATTCAATCAACCATACATAGCCTCCAATTGCACAAACACCTTGATCTAAGATTGATTGGACCTATGCTGGACAAAGTTTGAATTCGTTGGATCCGTCCTGTAGAGATGCTCAACTCAATGATAAGTTCACCGAAACCAGAGCTAGGATGATTACAAATCCATATTTGAAACTATTTTTTTTATCAAAATATTTCAAGATTCGTGCATGATTAAAACAATTTTTGAAGACGTATCAATCATATTTAATATTTTTCCACATTATAAATTCTAAAATACTACATTATTTATTAAAAAATTACTAAAGGGATCCTACAAAAAGATTCCTCTGCCTCATCCAAGCCAACTTTCTCTTTCAGCCAATTTCGTTTGACATGAACATTGTCGGCTTCTCTCAGAGCAAATGCCCGCAAGGCAAGTTGGAATATCTTTATTTTAGTTAGCAGAAAGCAAAATAAAGAAGCATAAATGCTCATGTGCAATTTATAAGTTAGCCCCTTCTTATCTAACAATTTAGTTCTTGTGACAACGGCAAAATAATATATATTGGATGTTAAGAGTCAACAACCTTGTTGCTTTGCAGCCACATAAATCAAATTATGAATCAAAACATATGAAAATAAACTTAAATTTTTTTTTTAAGAAAATAACTAGTGATTTTAAGGGGCACTCATAGATTTAAGTTGATAAGTTGAAATAAATTTCACAACAATTGGTAAATGTGGCCCAATTTTGCTCCAATCGTAAATAAAAATTAAAAGAAAAGATAAATAATGGAGCCTAGTATAGTTGACATAGCTCTCATTATTATGACGTATGAGTTATAGATGATTGACCTTTCATCAGACTCACAGAAGGATTCAATACGAAGCTGGTGAAAATAGGACATTGATAATGCCTATGATATTGAAAATCGAGCATTAGGATGGTCCACTGAAAATGTGAGGGTTGTATGATTTGAAGACATTATATGAAGTATTGTTGAAAGTTCGCTAAGGATGGTCATGATTTTTTTTTCCTCTAAGAAATGAGCGATTTAGATAGAGATTGAATCTGGCTCTGATTGTGGTTTTGAAAGGTGTTCCACATCAATATTAACATGTTTGAAAATAGTTAAGGGAGGTCTTGAAATGTGCCATGCAACATTTCCTTGTAAGGATTAATGTAGAGAATCAAGTAATCTAATTGTGATCTTAGTTCACAAAATATGTAACACTAGGGCTAACCTAAAATCTAGAACTGATAAAGTTAGCATGTTATCATAAACCCATTAACGACTTAATACAAAGTACGAAGTCATCATAACACTTTAGCTTAGCTTTTCAAAATACTATATAATATATCTATTTTGGCCCACCCCATTTCATTTTTTTCGAACCTCATAGTAAGAATATTTTATTTGAAATTTTATGAGAAATCACTCATTATAATAATTTACCATTATGGGCATGTTTAATTGTTGAGCTCCCAAAAAAACTAAGCATTATACTATAAGGAGTCTAGCTTTGTATGACTTAACCCTCTACTTGCATAGCCTAATATTCTTTCCACCACATATGATATTGGAATTAAGCCATTCATGCCACCCTTTTCTCCAAGAAGTATTCCATCTTAGTAAATATAGGAAAAGATACTATGTTTAAACCTCAGCTCCAATACTCAATGCTTGTTTACCCTTAGATCTAGGTATAACAAATTGATTGGTTTTTGTTTATTTCATTATCAAATCATGTAATGAATTTCATACCATGATACAATTTATGATGACCTATATCAAATTATGTAAAATATTTTTCACTTTGGCCAATCCCTTGCCAACGATTTTTCATTTTTCCTACAATTTCACAATAGGCCACACATCCCATGAGCAATACATTGCAAACTTAATTATGAAGTTTAAGGAAAAAAAATCACGACCTGACCTTTACTTAGGTAGCTCAATATCACCTCATCCACTAGTGATGTAAAACTACGATCATTCATATCCTCCTTAACTTTTAAAGCCATATTATCTCAGTAAGCTAGAAGTTTAGAATCACTTTTGTCAGACTTTAACACCAACTATTACTCATAATTAAGGCATACCACCATATACAAATCCTAGTACTAAATCACCCTCAAATCATAAAGATGGGAAGGAGAGTAATTGACATTGAATGAAACCTTTCAAACAAGTGGTTTTTGTTGCATGTTAGAAAAATAGATTAAGCATACAAGTAGTCTAATTAAAGCGGTCTGTCATTTTATTCAATAGAATGATTATTATAGACAAATGTTGCTATTTTTATGTGATTTTTTAATCATTGTAAAAATAGTTTGGTAGTACTTCTTGAAAGATATGCTTTGAATCATAAATCATGCCATGTGCTAAAAATCTCTCTCTCTCTCTCTCTCTCACACACACACACACACACACACACACACACACA